CACCTCTGCCCCACTTATCTAATAGGTCGGGGGGGGGGGGAGTGTGTGCTCCTGAATGTTACTAGTTGACTAACGTGCACGAAGTGTGTCGCAGTTTGTACTAATGAGGGATTTGCACCTTGGGAACTGGGACTCGGTTTCTAAGGCTTCCCCCCAGTCCCGTACAGACGTTTTTAGGCAAAGGAAGAGACTGGAAGCGGAGACCATGCCAAGGTGTGTGATTCTGTGGTGATGGGGACCACGAGACCCTGTGGGTTTGTGTGTGATCGTGGGACGATGGCCGGTGACCCTCGGTGCGTCTGTGTGGCTTTGCGTGACGGTGTGATGGTGGCATCATGGCGCATGACGTGCATGTGACCGCCTGGGACTGGTGAGTGCGGGTGAGGGTGCCATGCAGAGTCCTGTGCCTGTACCACCACGGCGCTGGGGGTGACCACGTGAGGGTGACAGTGTGGCCATGTGGCAGCAGCCGTGAGAGTGTGTGCCTCAGTGACAACCGGGGAATGTGTGTCCTCAGGATGTGGCTGTGGACCCTGGTGACTTAAGTGAACTGTAAGAGCATCGGTGGGTATGGTTGTGTGACCTGTAGGTCGTGGCATTAAAGGATGATGTGACAGGGTGAAGAGCCACATCACGGTGGCTTTATGTCACCGACAGTCATTCTTGGAGCCTCTGCTGTATGCCCGAACCTGTGCTGAGTGACACTGGGGACCCAGCGATGACCGCAAGGCCCTGGCCGGGTCCGCAAGTTGCCACAGGCCAGTTGGAGAGACAGAAGGTGTCTGTGACGTGACCTAGTGATTGTGTGACAGTGCGTGTGACTGACACGGTATCCCCGGGGCTTCGCGAAGACGTGACTGTGTTGCTAGGTGAGTGGAAGGGTCTGCACTTGGGGTGCACGTGACTATATCGCCGCGGATGACTGTCATACCTGGGGGGAAAAGACCTTGGTTCTCTGAGGGTGACCCTGGATTGCACAGCCGTAAATGACCGGCGGAAAAGTGTTCAGGGAGCCACAGCGTGTGACCATGCTGTGCCTCTCCATGGCTCAGTGGATGGGACCTCGTGTGACACCGTGTGTGGCTGCGTGACTGCGGTTGTGTGTGACGGCTGGGTGCGATGGGTGGGACAGCGTGACAGACTGTGACCCCGGCTCCCTGGCTGCTGTTGCACGTGACTCTGAGCGACTTTGATACTCACACGCCACTGGCCACTGGCCCCCTGCTCTGGGTCTCTCCAGAGCTCCCCCCTCCTACTCTCCGGCCCCGCCCTCTCCCACCACCCCAGGCTGTCACCTCCTCCAGAGCCCTGGTGAGGCAGTGGAGGCAGCAGCAGAGGCAGCCACAGCGCCCCGGAGTGAGTGACCAAGAGCAGATCTGGGGACAGGTGAGGGCTCCCCCAACCCCAGCCGGTTCCCCTGCTCCCATGTCCCGCTCAAGTCTCTGGGTCCCTCTTTCTCTGTTTCTTAACCCATGCCTTGCTGTCTTTGTCTCTCCGTGCCCACAGTCTCTATCCTCCTCTCTGTCTCTGGGTATCTCCGTCTCCAGGTCTCCCAATCTCTGTTCAGCCTATCGCTGAACCTTTATCTCTCCTTGACCCATTCTCTGTGTCTCTCTCCATGTCTCTCTCCCCTCTTTGTCTCCTTGCCCACATTTTTGTCTTTTTCTGTCGTTTGCTCTCTGGTCTCTTGCTGTGTGTCGCATTCCGCTCAGTCTCTGTATTTCTGTTTCATCCATTTCTCGGGCTCCGTCTGTCTGATATCTTCCCCTGCCCGCCCCCCTTTCTCTACATGGTGCTAATGTGCCAGGTATCGGGGTCAGACGCATTTCCAGGCATCTGGGTCCCCGCAGACCTAAGCCCAGGCTCTGACTCCTCTCTAGTCCCTAGGGAGAGGGTTGTTCCATCCACTCGGCTTTCTCCGGATCGGGCAAGTTCTATAAGGTCGAGTCCCCATCTGTCATTTGAAAACCCTGTGGGCTGGGAGAGTGGGAACTCCGAGGGTCCTTTCAAGCCCCGTGCCTGACGATTTCTGTGACCTCTTCTCCGAGGCAGTCCCCAGGTTTCCCAGAGTCTCTAGGTCTAGACTCCGGGTGACATTAGCGCTTCCGCCCTGTCGAAGCAGCTCTAAGGCAACCGCGCCCTCAGCAAACACCCCCCTTCCACAGCCGCTGCCCCAGCAACACTTGGGGGCGGGCCTGGGGATCACGTGTCGGATCTCGGCCTCGCCCCCTCGCCCCCACCCCTTCCGTCGTCACTCGTGGGAGCGGAGTGGGGGGCGCTGCCTCCCAGTCTGCAAGTATGATTCCCAGAGCCGATGGCGCTGGGGCCGGAGGGGAGGGCGGAGGCTCCTGACTCTACCCCCTGACCCTGCAGGCCCGACTGCCCCTACGTGATCAGACCCTTGGTCCCCCTCTCCCCCCATGCCCCACCGTCCTCACGATGCCGAACGGTCCGCCTTGGCAGCTGCTTCTACCGCTACTCTGGTCGTGGGGGCCGCTGCTCCGGAGCGCGGAGGTGAGGACCCGAGGAGCCACAGGAGTTCAAGCCTGGGAGGGCGGTCTGGGGACGGTTTTAAGTCTTCCCCCACTGCAGAGAGAGTTTTAAGGCTGCCCCGCCTGTCCAGATTCAAGTTGTTTCCCCCTCAAGT